CCACCACAAGCACTACTTAGATAAGGTTGGAGTTGACCTCATGGCATCTGCCATGTGAATGGCATGTGAATTCACATGGCCATGTGAATATAAAGAGGATCATTTACAGAATTGTCACACTTGTACCAACCCATTCAGTAGATTGGGCCTAGAAGGTACTTCTACAGCATCCTTTCCTAAACATTGGTTTAGGAAATCTATGTCACCTATTTTGTCACTATTGGAAAACAGATAAATGGTCTCTTTCCCTTACCTATGTCAGCAAGATCTGTGTCTAGAGACAAAAATATTTCCAGGAGGGAAAAAATTGAAACTGGGGAGAATTTTTAAGGATGTATGCAATATTTTACATCTTAAATCTAAAATCACACTTTACAAATCTAAAATCACACTTTTAGCTAAGGAATATAAAAATGCATTCCTAACAATTTAGTTTGCTTATTAAGTTTTGTGATGTATTAAATTTGAAAATATTTATTCAAATAGTAAGTACAGACTTAGTAATTATATGTATTTTCATGTTTTAAATATTTGTTACAAAGGACTGCTTGAATTAAGGAACATGAGTTGCATCCTTTGATAAAACAAAGGGTTTTTTTGGGGGGGGGGGGGTCTCTCACTGTCTCACATCTGATTGCCCTCCACTGATTGGCAGGAGGAAGGGGAGACTTTTTAAAAGCCCACAGGTAGAAAAGTCACTATATTCTTCCTTCTGTTATTAAAAGTACTTGAGAGAAAAAAATACATCTCTGCTCATGAGTTTGAGAGTTGTACTGTCGTGCCCAGTGTGGAAAAATTATGACTTGTGGGGCAGCTAGGTGGCACAATGTCTAGAGCACCGGACCTGAAGTCAGGAGTACCTGAGTTCAAATCCGGCTTCAGACCAAACACTTGACACTTACTAGCTGTGTGACCTTGGGCAAGTCACTTAACCCCAGCTGCCTTAAAAAAAAAAATTATGACTTGTTACTATAAATATTTGGCATTTAAATACTTCTATTTTCAAAAGATAGATAGCAATATACCAAGTAATAAAAAAGATTTTATTTATAATGTACTAAGCAAAACATCTTTCAAAATGTTCTTGGAAATGGTTTCTTTTCTAAATTATGGGGTTCCCCTCCCCCTTCCAGTCTTCACATCTTTTATCTTTGCCTATCTATTTCTGTTCTTCTAGACTTCTTTTTTTACCTAGAACCCTAATAAGGTACCTACAAGGAAAAGTTAGGTTCCCACTCTATGAGACCTTAAGTCTACAAAATCCAGAATTTCTGGCTTCTACATGTTAAGACAAGACTACATCTCTGTGCCATTACTGACAGATAATTAAGACCTAGAACTACACTGCAGTCTTGGAACCTAGAAAACCTGGAACCTGGAGCCTAGAGAGGTGAAGTGACTTGCTTAAGGTAAACACTTTGTGAGTATCAGAGCTAGGACTTAGAACCCCATTCTTCTTGGTTCAGTAATCTTTTCACACTGGGGTTCGAAGGAGTTGTTTGCTCATAGATGATTTTTTTCCTGTAAAGTATCTCCAGTGAAAGAAGCAACAAGAATCGTTGTTGGTCAAATTCTTGATTGGGATAGTTGGCTTGTCCCAAAAGCTTTAATAGCTTAAAACTGCACCAAGACTTTTGGGACACCCTAAGAGATCATTGGGTTGACCTGACAGTACCAGAAAGTAGATTGTTCTCAGTGAAAGAAATTGTTTCAGGTGTACAAGTGAAAGCATTCAACTCATGGCACTAATAAAAAATATCTATAGCTAACCATTTTTAACTTTTTTTTCCTTGTAATTTTAAAAAATTTACTGTAAAATGTCAGTTTGACAGGGAATGTTAGCATGAAATTGTGTTTTTCTAGAATTTTACTTTTTTTTTTTTCCTGAGAAAGCCTTGTGCATTGCCAAAACTTATAGTCTTAGGATGACTGTCACAAAAGCAGAAAAAGTTGTGTCCTTGACAAGGCCTCTCAAGCTCTGAACAAGAATCCCTTCTGTAATGTACCTGTATTGTAGGTCACCTAGGCTTCCCAGTATATTGTGGAATTATTGTTAAATCAAGCCTAAATTTTTTTGGCTTGATTTGACAACTTTTTCCCATTATTCCTAAATTCTGACCTTTGAAATTAAGCAGAACAGGTCTGATCTTCGTTCTGTTTTCTCCCCTTCTTTTAATCTTCCCTTTACATATCCCCAGTTCCCAGCTGATCTTCATAGGTCATAGTATGCAGTTTTCTCACCAAGTTGGTTATCCTCCAGCTTATCTACATCATTCCTAAAATGGTGATAATCAGAACTGAGCAGTGTTTCAGTGGTGGCCTTACAAAACAGAATATAGCAAAAGCATCAACTTTTGTTCTGGGTACTTTGCCCCTCAATGCAGCCTAGCCTAGTATTCGGTTTTTGACTGCCATTTTTCTAGTCTCAAGGTATTTTGGAGTCTTGACTACAAAAGTAAGTTTTCCCTCTCAACTTATATTGGGAGGCAGCGTTGAATGTTGAATTTGGAGCCAGGACCTGCGTTTAGCTCTCACTTACCTGTATGATCTTGGGCAAGCTCAACCTCACTGGGCCTGAATTTCCTTATCTAAAAGATCCGAGGGTGTGGGACTAAGTAACCTGAGGTTCCTTCAAGCCCTAAACCTGTGATTATATGAGCATCAGCAGATTTGACAAGAAATGTCTTCATCCAAGTTTATTGATTGAAGATTGAAGCTAAGTGGCGCAGTGGATAGAGCACCGGCCCTGGATTCAGGAGGACCCACATTCAAATGTAGCCTCAGACACATAACACTTAACTAGCTGTGTGACCCTGGGCAAGTCACTTAATCCTATTGCCTAGCCAAAAAAAAAAAAAAAAAAAGCTCGAAGATCAGTGGAGGGCCAAGTACAGGTTCTTAGGTGATTCTACTTTAGGGACTTCTTGGACATAATGTGTCAGCATCTAACTCAGTGGGGCTCTAAGTATATAATATATAATATTATATAATATATAAGGATTGTGGATGTATTGTAATGTTGGGTCCTGGACCCTTTACTATCTAAACTAAAAATTAGACAGATATGTGGCAATCTTAAGAGAAAAACTTTGTAGAAATGGGTAATCAAGCATACTATGAGACAGTATACAGCCTGGACAGGGGCAGCTAGGTGGTACAACATACAGACTGCTGGGCCTGAAGTCAGGAAGACCCGAGTTTAAATCTAGCCTCAGACCCTGGGCAAGGGTCTGAGCAAGTCACTTAACCCTGTTGGCCTCAGTTTCCTCAGTTGTAAAATGACCTGGAGAAGGAATTAGACACTGCAGTGTCTTTGTCAAGAAAACCCCAAATGGGTCATGACACGACTGAACAACATAAAGTGGATAAAATGATTTTATATTTATATATATATATATATATATATATATATATATATATATATATATATGAATAAAAGTCTTTTAGTATTTTTTATCTGTGCTTTCCTTATAGATTCGCTAATTTTTTGTTCATTAATTCATGAGTGCTCATGAATAATTTCTTTATGTTAATGAAATTGCTATTTAAAAGAGAATGGAAGTAATGGATATTCCTCAAGTGATCTGCATTTTGAGAACTCTGTGGGCCTTCAGTTATCTGAGACTTGAGAGTTGGCACTCCTCTGGCACAAGATCCTCAGTGTCCCCAGAACTTCGGTGGGGGTATGGGGGAGAAGATAGTACTTGGCCTTGACATACTAGTTCTTGCCCTGTGTAAGTGGGGGATTGTAGAACTGGCAGAGACCTTGAGAATTCTCTGGCTCTGGCATGCTACAATGGAAAAGAGCCATTTGGATTGAGTCAGAAGATCAGTCTTTTAATTCCCAGTTTTCCCCATATAGGTGTGTGACTGTTACTTCTCTTGACCTGTTTCATTTGTAAAACAAGGGATTTGAACTAAGGCTCCTTCTAGCTTCAGATTTATTGATCCTGTGAGACACCAAGAGCTAAAGCTGTCCAAGGTCCCACACCTAGCAAATAACAGAGCCAAGTTTCGAGCCAAGGCCCAAATATGTCCCAGGGTAAACTTTTAGCAAGCTTGTAACTCTTCTAGGGGAAAAATGCTCTATAAATTCAAATCCATTGCTGGCTTCAAAACTCCCAGGGCAATGGGGATGTAGAATTCAACACAAACATTCTCATGCCTTACCCCAGGACAGAAATTTTCCCAGGTCTAAGTAGTTAAGTAATTGTTCTTCCTTTCGACTAGGCAGCATAATTCGTTGTATGAGGCGTCTGGAAGAATTGCTTCGGCAGATGTGTCAAGCTGCAAAAGCTATTGGAAACACTGAGCTGGAGAATAAATTTGCAGAAGGTTTGTAACTTATCCATAACCAATGGATTTTTTTCCTAATAATTCTAAAGTCAGACTTTGGGCTCCTTGTCTTTTAAAAGTGTTAATGTAGTATCTTATGTGTTGGATTTCTAGGGGTCTTTTTTGCTTTGAAATATGCATTCTTGTACTTTTTATCTGGATAAGTGGATTAAGTGGGCCAGGTCTGGGAAGGAGTTTGCTGGCTGAAGGCCAAGTGTTTAGTGTCAGTGTTTAGAGACATGAAATCAGAATTAGCATTGATGCTTTTTTTTGATTCCACTAGTTCCACATTTGCTCTGTTAGTAGCATATTCTCTACCTCTTGGTGCTAAATTCATTGAAGATGAACATCACTGTCAATATCACCAGTGCCAGCCGAAGTGTTCCAAGCCTAGAGGTTGAATAATTAGGACCAAGTTTTAGGCTAAGTTTCTCACCAGTTTTAAGTATTCAATTCTGCCATTGTGTATACACACAATGCTCTTGCTAACTTAGTATTCATGTCTGTTTTCCTTTATTATAGGAATCAGCAAAATCAAGAGAGATATTGTGTTTGCTGCAAGCCTTTACCTGTAGAATCAACCAGTTACTAATGGCAGCCATCATATCCCCATTCAACATTGCAGAGACAGCTCTTTGAATTTTCTATAAACAAATGGACAACTCTTCATCATAAACATTTTAATTTGTATTGTATTTAAAACAAGCATCATACTAGCAAAGTATATGACATACACATTTGTACATAAAAGCATTATCACATTATTTTAATAAAAAAAATGTACAGGTGGGTAGTGTTTTAGTGAAAGGTCTGAAATCTTTTGAATGAATTTTAAAGCTATTATTGTGTTAAGTGTGACTATATACACAGGTAAAGTGGGCGTCTGAGAGGTATAGCAGCAGCAGTCCCTTAAAGGCTTTGTACACCAGGAGAAAATGATGATTATCTTTTTCTCCTGCTGTTATCATTTTCCTTTAGAAAGCAGGCAATTTTAGCTCCTTATGCTTGGTGATTGCTTCCATAATGATTTCCATTTGTTGACGTCTCATGCAAAGTTGTGTGTGAGTCCTCTTCTTTTCTTTGCTTAAATGGACAGTTTCTTTCCTCAAAGAAATCTGATACAAATACAACCTAAGAAGTAGATTAAAATGTTGTTTACTGAAATTTTCTCTGGAGTAAACTGGAGGGAGAGGGGAGAGATAACTAAGTTTAAGGGATCAGATTTCTGTTTTATTCTCTGTACTCTTACTTTGCACATCAAATTCTCTTGTAGTAATGAGCTCAGCTAAGTATGAAGGGGTATGTTTCCATTCCTGCAGCAGCAGCAGCATCAAGGCTCCCTATCATTCCTGTTTCTAAGCCCAAAGCAATGACATTCTGTAATGTCCAAATGTTTTATAGATAGAAATACACCCGTCAAATACAAAAACTCTTGGGTTTGGTCTGGTACATCCCAACCCCTAGTGATCTTGACTGGGGCGGGGGGTGGGGGGTTTGTGTTTTTTGTCTTTTCAAAAGTACAACAGCTTAAGAATTCTTCCTAGATGCTTCATGTTATATAATTATTTCCTCTACCAAACTCTAAGTTCCCTGAGAACAGGGACTGTGTATATCTTAATATCTTCTTTAGTGCATTACATATAGGTGCTTAAACGTTCACCTGGAAATTTTAAAAAGGGGGGGGAGCTTATGGTCACTGTTCTACCCTTGACTTTCCTTATCTTTAAGATGAGGCAGAGATTGATCGGAAGGTCCAATTCCTTCTTTTACTCTAGGAAGGCTGGTCTACACCTGAGTTTGTATACTTACAACGAGTATTGCAACCACAGCTCCCTGGATGAGTCCAGTCAGCACATCACTCCAGTGATGTTTATAATCAGAAACACGAGAAAGCCCCACGTAGATAGATAAAGCGATGAAAGCAAACTGAAGTGTGGGGCGCACAAGTCGTGCCCAATCTGCCTTCATTCTGGCTTGGAGATAAAGCTAAAGAGAACAGAAAACAGGGACATGATCATGGGGTGAAAGGTTTCCCTTGATGTGCCCATTTAAAACACTCCCCTATCAACTGCTTTTATTTTATGTCATAATTTAAGGGTTAAAAGGTTTATTATTTATTTATCATCAAGAATAAGTCAAGTGTGATACTGGAAATCAAATTGTTTTCAAGCCCCTAAAAAAGAGTGGAAAGATTCTGATAACTAAAGAATACTGGACAGTTAAACATCTATTGGCATTTGCTACACAACTAAGTAACCTTTATATGGGGATTAAAACAACTGCCTCTAACAAATCTGTAAGAAGGGGTTTAAGTTACAAGATCCACAGTGGGGTCCCAATCTGTACCTGTTGATTTGGATCTTATTTTATTTTTACTTTCTATCCTAGCCAATCTAGAGAAAACATTTAACAACTTCTCTGGGAATAGAGGTGAGAGCCATACATGAAGGTTTTCACTCTCTCCTTTAAGCCAGTCCTAGCCAGGAGCTGGAGGCCACCTCCTGCTGCTCCTGAACAGTGAACTCGCTGTCCCCCAGATGAATCCTTATTTAGCCTCCCCCTTCTCACTATTAACACTTCCTAACCACAGATTACCAAGGCAACAGAGCCTTGGACAAATTAGGATAGTTCTTGGACTGTCTTTGTCTATTTTAAAGTAATTTAGAACTTAAGAAAAAATTCATCTCCAACATAGTAAGATTAATATTTTACTTAGTGTGTTCTGCCTATTTCATTACACAGTCTAGTGAGGAGGCAGTGTGGTACAGTGGGAAGAGCCTTGGTTTGGGGCTTGGCCTTTTTAGTCATTCTCTAAGACAGTGCTCCCAAATTCCATACATTAGTTGATTCAATTACTCCTGCTTTGTGGACACAGGATCAGCCTGGTCTTTACCACCACAAGTCCTACTTACTACAGGTTTCTAAAATGCATTACCTTCTCATAACTAATTCAGTCAATTGTTTCCTGTTGATAAGTCCAAGGAACTCAAAAGTATTATGTGAGCCTCGAGCCCCTGCTGCCCCCTGGCAACAACTCCCTCTCTCTGGTTTGTTAATCATATATAATGAGCTCACTCTGGATCTCCTAATTCCTCTTTTTGATACATTGGTGTTGTGTCTTTGAGACTTTGAAGTTCTTATACAGCCTGAGTTATCAACACTACCAGTAAATCTAGTTAAGCCAGCCTAGTTAAAGGAAGACTGTAAGCTAAGCACTAGGAAGACAAATACAGAAACATGAATGACACCTCAAGGAATGCATACTACAAAAACAGAAGAATGTCACTAAGCATGGTCATTTTATTTTTTCCTCCAAAAAAATGATTTTGTTGCTCAGATTACATTAGATGACCTCTAAAACATCCCTTCCAATTTTAAGGTTCAGTGGCTCTTATTTCTAAAACATTTTTTTCAGATTCTTAAAGACAAGTGAGAGGGTAAGCTCCAGCAGAATTGTTCCACTGAGCACAGGTAAACTTTTTCCAATTAAGACTCTTGAAGGTTTGGACAATGAGGGGAAATAGAAAGGGAAGTAAAGAATAGCAGTGGGAAGGAACCCAATATGAGATGGTGGCAAAAAGGCTTCTGGACACAAGGCAATTCACAAAGGTCAGAAAGTTGGCAGTAGTACTTAAGGAAGAAGGTGTGGTAAAGTAACTGGGATCGTATCCAAGGATCACATTGAGGAGAACAGCCCCACTAGCAAAATGAGAGAGGCCATCACACTTCCACAGAATGCTGGAAAAAGCAGGGGTTATCAAGAAAAAGATATCCACAGTCTATCACCCAACCAAAAACTGCCCATCAAAAAGGTTTGCAGGATCACAAACTTAGAAAGAGACTCCCAAGTCATTAACACTAACCCTCTTGGGGCAGCTAGGTGGTGCAGTGGATAGAGCTCTGGCCTTGAAGTCAGGAGAACCTGAGTTCAAATCCAGTCTCAGACACAACACATGACACTAGCTGTGTGACTCTGGACAAGTCACTTAACCCAATTGCCTAGCAAAAAACTAAAATAAATAAAATTAAAAAACAAAACTAACCCTCTCATTTTACAGATGAGAAAATAGATCTAAATAGTAAGCAGGATTTGTTCCAAGGTCATCCAGATGCTACAAAGTCCCTTTTCCCTGTAAGTAGGCTTTACTACTTAGGGAAAACTAAGCATTAAATAAATGATACCACTATCCAAGGTCAAGCTGGTTTTCAGGTTTCTTTCCTTCAATGTCTTTATCATGGTACTGGTGGCTTCAGCCTTCACACATTCACTGAGAGTTAATGTGCTCTGTTGAAATTCAGAGTCTGCTGAAACAACTGTTTTTCAGATAACTATGAGGGGTCTCAAAAAGGTTTGCTTCAAGTCAGGAAAAAATCAACTTAGTGGGCCAGAAAGGGAAGAAGGCCAAGCATGAGGAAATCTTTCCTTGCCATGATGTATTCCATTGGATTTATCTTTCCCTAAAGGCACGAACAGCTCACCCTTAAGATTCCTGTTCTGATCCCTGCCATGAATATAGTGTGCTTCCAGGACGCTAGGTTTCCCTTTTCCAGAATTCAATGCTTCTGCTGTTCTGCAATTCATTTTCTCCTAAACTGATTCAGTCTCCTGGCTTTAACTTATCTTCACCCCTAAGTGAAGATAAGCACCTCAAGTTCTAGACTTCCTTGTTTATTGATGGTTATCTGCTTTTTTCCCAAATCTCCTAGATTTGACACCCTGAAGTCATCTATGACTCCTCTCTCCTTCACCAGTCATCAAATCCTGTTTTTTCCTTCAGAATATTACTTGCATCTATCATTTCCCTCCTTTAAGTCCTCCTGTGATCATCCAAACAGAGATCTTTTCTACCTTTTCAGCTGGCCATTGGGGAGAAATGCTAATATGTAAAGAATTATGTTTTACAAGATGAATAGAAGATAAATTAGAGATGATTCTCAAGTAAAGGCATTATTAGTATTGAGGTTTTCTTGCAAAATATGGAATTTAAGCTGCTGCTTGAAGGAAACCAGGAAAAGCTGGAGATAGAGATGGGAAAGGAGAGTATTACAACAACATAAAGGAAAGACATCCAGTGAAAATGCTGAGTGGGGAGATGGAGTCACTTCTGCAAGGGACACTTAAGGGGATCAGTATCACTGGACTGGGGGGAAGAATGGAAAGGGAAGAAGTGTCCAAGTCAGGAAGAGCTTTAAAAACAAAACAGAATTTTATACTGATCCTGGAGGCGACACGAGGAAGAAAGCATCCAATCAAAACTTCATGAAAACAAGAAATGAGGTAGAAAAGCATTTAGTCCAGGGCCAATAAGGAAAAGAATCCACCTAGAGTAGAAGGAGTGGTTGGTGGTTATTAATAGATGGAATGTAAGTTGAGGTCAAAATGCTGCCAAGCCAAGGATCTTCCATTTTCTCCAGTGGGCAGCAGATTTGACATTTTCGTGTAGGGGAATGGCATAATAAACTATTCCCATTTCTTTAATGATTGAGGTGGAATGATGAAAGGGTTTAGAGTTCTAAAACTCAGTCTGCAAGATGGTTTGGAGTAAGGAAAGCTAATTATTAGGATTATTATAGAGATCCAGATACTGAACCAGGGTAGCAACAATGGGAATGGAAAGAATTTAACTGAGATAAAAAGAAGAATCATCAGAATATGGATAACTGAAGGTTCCTAGAAACACAATTTTAGAGGTGGAAGGGATCTCAGGGGTCATCTAGTACAATCTATACTATAATCCCTCTCCAAGCATCATATTAAGGCCTTCAGGAATGGAGAAATCACAGCCACATAAGGCAACTCATTGTAGGTTTGGACAGCTCTTAATTATGGAGCTTTTCCTCACAACAAACTCAGCAATCCACTATGCTCAGTGCTGCTCTTTGAGTCAAGAGCAAATCTCACTTCAAATGACAACCCCTCAAAATACTGAAGCTGCAGACTGAAAATTTCCAAGGTCTAGGATTGTCGCCACCTGGGTCCCCAGGCACCAATTTGCCAATGCTCTTCCTAAATTGTTCTCCCATAATGAAAACTGGCTACATGTAAGCAAGGAGAACCTGGACCTTTGTCCTGGTTTTCCCTGAATGGATTCTTGCATTGTGACAAGAGAGTTGAATATTTCAAAAGGAAAAACAACTAAGCCAGTGGACACCCCTCAGTGGCAGAGCAGACAGTTCTAAGGAACTATGGTTTATCAGGCTGGCTTTCCTTGTGTATGTTTGGATCTCTGAGAAAGCTTTGTGAAGTAGTCTATTCAGTAAACAACTTAGGGGTCTTTGACACAGAATATTGGGAGGGGGAGAAATCAGTCACGGACAAATCTATGTCACAAGGTCAGAAACAACTGCTTCTTTTTTAAAGACTTTATGAAGCCAGAACCAGATTTGCCCTATAACACACAAGACAAGTGGTCAGCCTTTGTTTGAAGACCCTGAATGAGGGCAAGCCACCTGCCTTCCTAAGGCAGCCAGACACCTCCAAAAATGAGAAAGTTTATGCTACCAGGCCTAAATGTGTTTCTGCAATACCTAACCATTGTTCCCAAGTCTGTGTCAAAGCAGAACAAATCTAACCCTTCTCTGCCTGTCACCTCTCTTCAAATACTAGAAAACAGCTATGATATGTACCCCCACCCCAATACCATCCCTCCAGCAAATTTTCTCCAAGTTATTTCATAACTGAGTGCATGTGGCAGATACAGGAGAGAAAAGAGTGTTTTACAAAAACAAACATCTTTCACTCCCTCTGCCCTCTCCCCCCCCCAGATCTTATGCAAGCTCCATCATCAAATAGGTAGAATAATATCTGTGCTACTCCATTGTGCAGCATCATTACTCTGCCTCTCCTAAGGTTCTTTCTACTTCAAGCATTTATGAAGTGCCTACTCTGCACCAGGCACTGTGCTAATCAATGGGGACACAAAGAAAAGGGAAAAGAATCCTTGCCCTCAAGGGGTAAAGGAGAACATCCAGGCCTGGGGGACAGC